CCCCAAAACCCCAAAACCCCAAAACCCCAATGATAAAATCTAATCTATTGAATTTAGAAAAGAGTAATAAAATATTATGCAGAGATTCTCTAATTTTTTGAAAATTATATCAAAGTATAGTAAGCTATTATGGCCTAGAGGATCAAGTAATAATTTTTCAGATTCAAATAACAAGATAAAATTAAAAGCTACGGACATTGCTGAGTGAGTCTTATATTTACTAATGACTAATAATGTTAGAAGCAGCCAAGCTTAGTCTTAATATTTACTCGGTCGGTATTTTAACTCTTTTTGGAGCTTCTGATGGGTCAAATACGGATAACTAATTGATTTGAAGAAAGCAGCTAGGTGATAATGAAATATGACTTCTAATTATGAGTACGGTTATTAGTCTAACTATGGGCAAAATAGTCTTGATCAATATTGTATTGCCTAGATCAAAGTAGGTAAGAAAAGTGAGCACTCAATTTCTTATGTATTCTAGCATTGACAAGAATAGAATTTATCATTGTAGTTATCTTTAGTAAAAGGCATCAAAGTTGCTGAGTAATTGCTTCAAAATACTAAAGATTAGGTAAAATTCTCCCGCTAAAGAAAAATTGTCAATCTATTACCAATCCTAGTTTACTGTCATGAAATGCGACTCAGGCAATAAAATTGCTGAAATATCTCCAGTCCTATCAAAGGAAATTAGCCCACTGCATGCTTCGTTAATTAGATAATTGAAGAGAAGAACTGTTTCAAAATAGTGATTGTTTCTTAAATCACTTTTCTACTAGTATGTTTTATTATGATGCATTGGGCAGACGAGGGCTCGTCTACTAATCATTACTTTTCCGTAATCACTCAATGAATTCTTAGAGTATCAGTATCAAGAGAAGAGGACATTATCACTTTAATGTTATAGATAAACTAAATTCACATGAAGAAGTTTGATATCAATACTCACAAGAGTAGACTACATTAAACTAGATCGGAAAAGGTATGGAGAAACTCAAATGCTTAATGGGCGATAAGGGCTTTGAGAAAGCATTCATACTCTGAATAGAAGTTCAATATCCCTTAAACAAGATTGCATTAACTATAGAAGTAATAGCTAGCAAATGTCTTCTTGGTACATGCACTAATGGTTGAATACGGATAATTTTACGTCTGCTCAAAGAGCATTCCAATTATTTTAGAGCCAGTCTAAGCTCATATTTTAATTTAGACTAATTATCTAATGCAATAAATGTTATTAAACTAACTTAGATATTCTGCATCCTGAATTTTGTGAATTGCTTTGTGAAAAGCAAAGATGATGTTTAAAACTGTTGAAAGAGGGAATACCTCGTGATGAAATTAAAATTAATACTCTTCCAGTTCTTATTTTTGAAAGAGGAAGATTTGATAATGACTCAGATTTTTTGTTCCATTAGTTTTGGAAGAAACTTTGTTATAAGGCATAAATATAATAAAGTGGTTTATAAATTATTTTGTTAAACATAGCAGAATGCTTCTTACTAAGACTGGGTTACGTTTCTTTTCATATGGTTAATATATCAAAGCTAATGTTGTCAACGGGATTTCTGAAAGCCCAATCCAAGTGACCAATTTCAAACTGCCATGGGGCAAACTATGCCAGAGAGATGATCAAGACAAAGAGATCCACTCTCCATATAGTGATGTCTAAATCAGTCCAAAAGCTTAGCGCCAATTTTTTTGCGGTGGAAGAAAGAGCATCCCTTTTGGCACTGAAGGATCGTTTGACATCCAGGAAGGCGACAACTTAGTTGGCACGTTCTACTTTGACTGCCCATTCAGCATTTTCGGGACAAACAAGCAACAGTGGACCCAGCATCAAAATAACTATGTGGTTCAGATCAATCCGCAATCGCCAAAGTCGCGTGGAGCTTTGGGATTGGTGACAATTTCAGTGTCCAAAGTGAATTAAGAGAAGTGATTTTATGAAAAATCATGAGGCTAGCTGTTTGAGTGATTAGAATATATTGCTTTCATTAAAGATTTGCTATAAGTCACCGCTCGGCAAGTGAATCTATAATAATATTTAATATATGGGAAAGCCCCCAAAAAATATCTTTGCCTTCCTTTGGCCAAACTCATTGACCTTATTGATTGTTTGTATGACACTCATAGCCAACACCTACTAGAAGCCTCTAGTATCACTAACCTCCACAGTCTAGGATAATACTGCTAGAATCTTTATGATTTAATGGGAAGCCACTCCTCTTTTTAGTGTATTGTCCCCATGGGTCGGTGTTTATAGGATCATAAGTCCAGACACAGCTCCTATAATGGTCTTTGAAACTCAAGGTTAACGTCAAGGTTATTTCATGGTGACTCTACCTGATGTTGACTTCTATGAGGCCAGGTATTTCCAGAGATACAACAATAAGGACATCCTTATAACGACTGGAGACTTGATTCAAGTTGAGAATAATGAGGCCATCATAACCTTGAGCGCTTCATTTAAAGACGAAAAGGGAGATGAAGTCCCCATTGTGAAAATTGATTGGGTCTCAAATGTAACATAAGACAACGATTAAATCTTCCTTTACAGACTTGGTTAAAGGGACCCAGTGTGGTAATTCAGTGTTGAGAAATAAGGGGCAGGTGCTACTTAGTATACGGTTTCTAAAGGATAAATTGGATACTACTACGCTCAATATTCTCAAAGAGGAATAGACTCCTTTAAGATGAGTAATATTATTCAAGTTAAGGAATCCTCACCTAATTTCATTACCATTGAGGGTTAAACTGTCTCAGGGAAGTGCAAGATTACCTGGAGTACTGACTTTTAAACCAACCAGGATACAATCTAGGTAAAACTTGGCAGGATAAATGAACTTGCTGACATTAACAAACTTAAATACCTTGTGGAGACCTAGGATCAATCTTAGCAGTCTGTATTCAACCACAGGTATGAAAATGAAGCAGGCACTTATATGGCTTACCTTTACAGGAACTAATAACTCATCGCAGTCTCAAACTTGGTTCGAGTAAGGTAACCAGAGGTGAATTGCCCAGCTAAGAAAGGAGATACTATGTCGAACATAAAAAACATTGTTATTTTGATTCCTGAAAATCATTCATTTCTGAGTTACTGGGGAGATTATTGTGAAGCTCCACCAGGTAGCAACCCCACTTGTAACGATGGCCCCAAGTGTTGCGAGACCTATCCCAAAATTGTCGATGGAGCAGGTCCTATTATGATGGACGATGACTAGGAAGTAGACAGGAATCATTTGCAGATATGCCAAATCTGCAGGATAAATGGAGGAAAAATGGACAAGTTCATCAAGGGTTGCCATTATCCGATGAAGCCCTTCAATACACCTTGTAGTTCAGAGAATAACTTTGCCATAGCAACCAAAGAAATTATGAAAACATATCATCAAATGGCCAGAGATTACGCCATATCTGATCGATACTTCTAAGCCTCAGCTGGATAATCAAGCTAAAATGACATGTATTTTGCAAGAGCTGCATATGTTTTCAAGAATAATGATTGGGTTCCTAATGCAAAGAAAGGGTCACGCTGTTTATCTCGCGATATTCCTACCTAGTAACCTGAAAAAAAGACTCTATTTGATCCAACTATTGCCTCACTTCTTGATGCATGCGACTAATCACTTGCATTTTATGCTGAAGGGTACGATGCATCTAGCACAGATTCAATAATACCAGAAATAGTTTGCTTCCCCAAGCACTATGACAATTCTGATGTCCCCTTCCAATATTATGCTCCCCTGGCTGATAACCCAAACTTCAATAGAGATTATAACCGATTCTGGAGAGATGTGCATCATAGAACTCTACCTCAAGTCAGCTTTATCAAGGCACTAGGTATGAGGACAGGCCATCCTGGAACTGCAATACTTGGAGGTACACTTACTTAATGCCAAGACTTTGCTCAAGATATTCTGGACATAATCTAAGCATCTCCCACTTATCGCAATCAAACTCTCTTTGTAATTGCTGAAGATGAATCAGGTGGTTTCTATGATCATATCTCTCCTCCACCGACAAGTCCTACCGACAATATTCCTTATGGTGCCAGAATTTCAAATTTGTTTTTGGGGCACTTCGCTAAGAAAAATTACATCTCTCATGATTTAATTGAACATTCATCACTCATAAAGTTCATTGAGTGGAATTGGCTCAACGGTGAAACTGGATAGCTAAATACCAGAGACTCTGATAGCCAAGTTAATAACATTGGGGATTTGCTAGATATAAGCAAGACAGGGACAAACCCACCCTGAAACCAGTGCTTTTAATCTTATCTTTGAAATTTCTAAATTATAGGACATTCAAAGTTTAATTTCATTAATGCTTCTCAAAAATATTTAAATAATCAAATAAAATTCTTAATTAATGCCCTTTTTATTAGTCATTGGGGTTTTGGGGTTTTGGGGTTTTGGGG